TTCTTACATTATCCAACTGTAAAAGTGTGTAACCCACAGGCCTACAACACATTTAAATCCGTTCAAATGTGAGTCATAGTTATGTCTATGGCCTGGTGCCAAACATCTCGTGGCTCGTCTTGAGTCTGAAATTCAAAATCCAGAATAAGAACTTCTTGGGGGAATATATTGAATTTAATAGTGCATAAACAGATGTGTTTACTTTCACTGCAAGGTACCATATATTCATGAATACCTTACTGCAGAGTAGCCACCTAATGGTAAAACATATTAATGATAAGACCTAGTAGTAATGTGGATGAGCTAATTTAGACTTAAAGAGGTGGTGTTACCTTTATTATAAGGCTCAAATATATTTTGTGGCTCCAGACAGATTTAATCAATTTTTCTGGACCAAAAAGGACTCCTGTGGTAGTAAAGGTCGCTGACCCCTGTGCTAGGTTAATGGCCCGTCTCTGACATGCCAGACAGCATTAGAGAAACACTGATGTGGAACATGAAACTACTGTGTTTTTACTGGTTTAAATTATCGTATCTGTTTTGTTTTATGGAGGAGGAGACCTCTGTGAATAATGCAGCTCACTGTAAAACCTCCTAAATATGTGGATCAGGAAAGAGTTGAGCACACATTATGAGAGAAACAATAGGCACTGGGCAAGCCACTTCTGCGCGGTGCCGAACCATTCGGAAGAAACACTGATTTTTAACACGAAACTGCTTTATTTAGTGTTGAATGGGTTTAAACCACCTGATCTGATTGTTTTTGAGAGGAAGAGATCTCTGTGGATAATTCAGCTCCCAGTAAAAAAAACCTGAACAGTGAATTGTGGAGGAATTCTAACCAGGAGAAGTTTTAGCAGGTTGCAATTTGCAATCCTCACCACTAGATGTCACTGAATCTCCCTAAATCTTACACACTGCTCCTTTAAGGCTGGATGAGGACTTGAGAGAGCTGATGAAGTACTACTGTACTGTAAACTATATGTGAGGGGCCCCTTTTACCTCAACAGTGACCCCTAAAACCTATCATAATAATGTCACTCACGGCTAACCAGGACACGCAATGATGACATCACTGTTTCCATGGTACATTAACATTGCTGTACATTCTAACTTTTTAAACCTTTGATGTTTGAGTGTGTTAATGTGTGATCCGTCCTCAAAAACTGCTTCTGACCAGTGCACAGGTGTGAACAAACATATTTTTGTATATATACATAGACAGATACAGTGGCCTGTGTGATAGCTTGCACGGAATTCATGAATTGCCTTAAAAGTTTTGTACCAAAGACTTGATCATTTTAAAGATTTGTCAGACTCTTAATAACTTTGAAGAAATAAAATGCTGACTGTATAAATGGCCTTTTGTCAGTGATACACTCTCACATGACGGGTTCCAAAAGTTTCTGGACACTGATACTTTTTGGCTTTTGTTGTTTGGATATTTGGCTCCGTGCTCTCCACAGTCTGGATATCAGTTTGATATATTACACTGGCGAAAGTTGTATTAATCCAAGAATAGAAAATCTCCATTTTATCTCTCTGGCACGTAGCTGTGCTTCTCTTGGCTTTCACCAAAGGTCTGATCTGATTCTGTGCAGTTTCTCGCAGTTTGGACAGCCTGAGGAGGATCGTATCTGCAGCACAAAGTCAAACATGCTGGATATTTCTCTTGTGGAAAGCTGCACAGTACAAACAATGTGTCACTGTTTAAAATATTTTTTATCTGAGTCACTCCCTGCCTTGTATTATCGTGTTTACTGTGAATGTTTTATTTTTCCCCAAGTTAATGATGTCTTTGTCTTCTTACTGCCTTTGAAATGACCACTAAAGCAGCCTGTAAATAAATAAACATGCAGTTATTAATTACCTGCTTGTATGAGTGCTTATGTATGCAAATAACTTAACACACACATGGGAATAATCACTTTTTTTTTTTGGTCTTATTTCTGAGTGTCATATGAATATGCAGACAAATATGCAGACCTCCTCACAGTAAGTTCTCTCTCTCCATCAGTTAGCTGGCAGCCCAGACCAGGCACAGTTTCACATTCGACTAATTTCCCCCGAGGATTAATGGTCCCAGTCAGTCAAATGGTCAGAGTGCTAATGGTTTCAGTGGGGCTTATGAGCCAGGGCCTGAGCCAGAGTGCACTGGCTTATTATGGGTAATAGACAGACGCCAAATGTAGCAGAGCATAGTCACCTCACCCTGTGGTGGAGTCGATCCTGACTGCAGTCATATCCAGGACTGGTCGCACACTTCTCTTAGATTTAAAATGGGAAGCTAATATTCTGAAGCTGCTCAAACTGTTAGGTAACAGAATAATATAAGAGACGATTCAGAAAGGTCAAGCAATGCTTTAAAAAATAGAGTCGTGATCCAAGTCTTTCATTCTTAATCTGATGTAACTAATAGATTGTTTTTGTGTTCTATCAAGTAACAGTTCTGTAAGTAAACTAGTAGCTCTACTCACACACATTTCAGTACCTTTGTTAGCTTTGTATAATAGATATTTTTTTCAGTCTTAAGTTCAAGTCACAGCTATCATGTCTATAGTTATTTATGTTAGTATGAAGAGTTACAGGTGCTGCAGGTGCTGCAGGAACAGTTATTGTGGAGGGGGATATACACTGTCATTACTCAAACCCATGTATTATGGATGGATTACTGGATGAGCCTACCAGGCACAGGCTCACAGGCCCAAAGAGTCAAGAGTCCCCCCTGACCTTCACCTGCAAAATGTCACTTGGATTAACATGATTAACATGATTAACATGTACCTACCAGGAGGAGACATAAAAGAATGATATCAATGGCAACAGCAATCATTTATCATCCCTGTTACATGGCAGCTAATCTCATCCTCTGCTCAGAGAGTTAGGAACTCTTTAGCATTTGTAGACATTTTCAGCCACTGTGATTCCTCTTTAAAGGGATAGTGCACCCAAAAATGAAAATTCAGCCATTATCTACTCACCCATATGCCGAGGGAGGCTCAGGTGAAGTTTTAGAGTCCTCACATCACTTGCTGAGATCCTATGTTAGAGTTGGTAGCATCACAACTCCACCTAATTGAGGCTTACGGCGCCCCAGATTCAAACGTCCAAAAACACATAATTGAAACCACAAAATGTCTCCATACTGCTCGTGCTGGGGGCTTTCACATGTCTGTACCCAGGGGCCTGTTGTCTCATAATCCACCCATGCTATGTACTGGTTGCAACTTGATAAGGCTGTCTTACACCTTGTATTAATATGGTAACAGTAGTATCACAATTTAAGATTTTATTAACAAAGTTAAGAGGGATTTGCTTCGGAGAACTCACATCAAACAAAGGCAAAACAGAACTCCCAGGACACCACATAACTACACTGAGACATAAAATGGGTGCTAAAGACATTTTCTGTAAAAAACAAAACAAAACAAACAACCTGTAATAACATGTTTTAAATAAGTATCTTTACATTTGACAGAGCACACGCTCCAACTTCAAATCTGTCCTAAGCCTGATGGTATAACAACAACCCACTGTTAATGATCCTATGTGTACTTTCTGTTCCTCCAAAGTGATTGGCAGTTATTTTCACATGTTTTGGGAGTGTACCCCAGTGGCTGAGTTTTGGAAGATGGTTGCCTTTAATCTCTCCAAGTTGTTTAAGATCAGATTGCCCTGTTCGCCTGCTACACTCTTTCTGAATGATTTGTCAAGGCTGGGTTTGACACTGGACAAGAGAAGAGCACTGTTGGCTGGACTTACAGCTGCAAAAACTAGTTGCCACACATTGGAATCCTCCACATTAACTCTCTTTTCGAGCATGGGTTTTAACATATTTGGATGTTGTTTATTTGGAGTTGTCGACAGCTAGAGTCCACGGAGCAAAAGAGTCAGCAATAGAGGTTTGGCATTCACTTTGAACTATCCTCTGTGGGTTTCAGGTGTAATATGTGACTGAGGTATGGAGTTCTGGATCCAGGGGGTGGGTGGGTTATATTTGGGACTGTGACTTTTGCTATGACTTTATTGT